ACAGCCCCCTCCTACATTCCCAATCTTCTTAAGCACTACTTCCCTCCACAAACTCTGTAGTCCAGTAACACTGGCCTTCTTGCTGCTCCTTCACAAAACACTCTGTCTCTCAACTCCCCTGCATTTTCATTGGCTGTCCACAATACCTGGAACTATTTCCCTCCTCATTTCTGCCTTTTGATTTCCTTCAAGACTCAACTAAAGTTTCATCCTCTGCAGGAAGTCTTCCTTGATCCTTCTTAATGCTGATTCCTTTCCACTGAGATTATCTCCAATTTATCCAGTACATATCGTTTGTACCTAGTTGTTCGCATGTTGTCTCTCCCATTAGACTAGGAGGTCTTTGAGAGAGAAGGGACTGTTTTTGCTTTTTTTTTTTTGTAACCTCAGGGCTTTGTCCAATGACTGGCACATAGTAAGTGGGTGCTTAATAAATGCATGTTGACTTGTCTATAACTATTAATTAATATTTGGCAATAGTAGTGGTAAGAGCACTCTGTTTGATATCTACCTCAAGTAGTTATTGTGAGGATCAACCAAGATAATATGTTGAAATCACCATGTAATAAAATGTCAGCTATTATTATTGATGATGATCACACAGACAAAAGTGGCAGAGAGGATTTAAACACTAGCTGTCCTCATTTCCAATCAAATACTCTTTCCACTACACTAATCTGCCTTTTCTATCCAGAGCAATAACACAGAAATGAGGCAGTTATTTCAGGTTGTGATAACCACCCCTAGGCATCATTTTCCAGGGATAGGAAAGTAGAATTTTTCACTTTTGAAAGTACCACATTGTGATTATTGACAATGGAGCTCTCACATTCCATTCATTCTCTTTCAACATTTAAAAACTGAACATTTTACATGTGCTTAGGTAAGTGAATTTATGGATTATATCATCTAGTTTTACCTAAGCTGCCCTCAAAAAATGGATGAGTGGTTTAAAAACATACTGGCAAAGAAGGTGGAATTGAAAGTATTAATGATATGAGCACAAGTGGATAGTGGAAAAAAAGGGGTAGAGTTGCCCCCTTCCACTCCCAGGATTCCTGGCTCTTTGTCAATTATGTCTCCAGGTGGCAACAATGATAACCACACTCGATCCAGTACTTAACAAAATTTCTCTAAACAGTGAAAAATGTTTGGAACCCTTTTCTTACTTGATAGAGAAAGACAAAAAAAACCCCTACATATTATTAGGGAAACATCTGTTCTTCCTAAAAATTGTTGAAATAATTCATGGAAAACAATGTGGGAAAAAAAAACCTAAAATGCATTCCATTGTTAGTAAACATTGTTGCAAAATGCATAAAAATGCTGCTGAAGATTTAAAGAAACAAGTATTACAACAAATCACATGGGAGAGACATGTTTCTTTTTACATTTGAATGAAAGTACAGATGAATAGTGTCTCAGCTGAGTGAAGATAACAGTCAATCTGTATGTTAAATCTTAGTAAAGCTTAATTTCTTTTTTTTTTTAGATAGTTCTAACATTTCCTTGCTGCACCCCAATGGATCATCTTGCATGTCCCATGTTGGGAACCATTCCTAAAACCATTGTTTTAGGAATATCATGTTGGCAGCTTTGTGGAGACTTCATTGGAGAGGGAGAAATGAGACAGGGAGACCAATTAGGACTGGATGATAAAGACTATGACTGATCCTCGATGAAGGAGAGGATACTGAGCGATAATGGCAAAGGGATAACCTGGAAGTGAGAGTAAGAAGCAAAGAATATGTCTGCTATTCCTTCTGGTCAGAGAGTAGCATGTAGCTCTGGAGAAGGTTGCTAGGGATGCAGTGTCTTCTGCGTTCACACCAGATAATCAGTATCTGCTGAGGAGGCAAGACAGAGTATCAGGAAACTGTTTGGCCAATCTGTCTCCCTAAAGCTTTTGCCTTTCGTGGCTAAATGTATTCTGGGTCCCTTTACCCCAGCTCCTTACACTGACATGTTGGTGTGGTCATGGATCAGGTTTCCTCTTTCCCACTGTCTCAGTCACATCAGTCAGGCCATGAGGTCAGACATAAAATTCTGTTTAGCTCCAGCTTTGCACATGAATGAGGCCATTACTTGCTTAAATTTTGTGATTTAAAGGGTCTGTCAGGCTTCCCTGATCCTGATCATTGCACCCAACCCCTCAGCCCCCTGTTTGCCTTAGTGCCTGCAATTCTCTGCATTAATATCAATCCTTAAGAGGTGGATTTCAACATTACAATCTAATGCATGTGAAAAGATCTTAGGATACATTTAGAACACATCATTGGCCCTGAAATTGCAAATGAAACAGAGAAGTGGCGGTTGCAAACCCAACTGCGTGTAAGTGTAAACTCATTTGAAATATCTGAAAATTAAACCAAAGCGTCTAGTCACATAACCCTTTCTGGTAGGTAATTACCCTTTTTCTGTTTTGCTCATAGAAATGATCTAGCCACATGATTCTTTAGCTCAGTTGATAAGGACAGAGCTTTTTAACCAGTGTGCTGTAAGACTTTTGGAATAATGAGAATAAATTTCTTCAACATCCTTAACACTAATGAATAAACTAAACTGATGCTATATTCACCACAGACATTTTACATGTGGTGTCTTTGGTGGGGAGTGAGAACAAGCTGAACGGAAGGAAATTCATTAACTGCTCAAAGGCTAATCTTTGAAAGCCCCTCAGTACTGTAAAGAAAGATGTAAAGAGTATTGAACTAGGTGCCAGACCTACCCCCAGTTACCAGTTGTGTAACCTTAGGCAACTCGTTTACCCTGTCCAGGCCTCAGCTCTTCATCTGTAAAATGAGTGATTCAGAGTGATCTCTAAGGCTCTTTCTATCTCTGAAGCTCTATGTCCTATTTGTAAAGTTGAAACAAAATCAGGAGTATTTTACAAAATACAAATGTTAAAAAAAAAAAGTTTATCATCAACAGCAATAAGCACTTATTAAGTGACTATGGTGTGCAGAGCACTGTGACAGCAATGGGGGAAAACATGCATAGATAAGGAAAAGGTTAGAGCCTACTGGTCTGTGGAGCATTTTGCTATGACCCATTCAAGCAGTTGGTTTTTGATCAGAGCAGTAGCTTTGCTTGATTTTGTGGTCAAAGACTGCCACTTTGATAGCTAATCATTTTGAAAAGGTATCCCACAGGTCCAAAAGGGACCAAGCAAGAATGTGTTGGAGTCAAGTCAAAGACTTCATTAGCGCTGGAAAAACAACTCAGAAAATATGACCTAATGACAGATCATTGAGAACATCATTATTATATTCAGTTAGCTAGGTGAAAGAGGGTGTATTGCCTAATGAATAGAGGGGCTGGCATTGGAGTCAGGACAACACAGGTTTAAGTACTGTCCCTGACACAAACCAGCTTTGTGCAACCCTGGGTAAACCCCTAATTTTCTTAGTGCCCCCTGGCAACTCTCTTAGACAATAAGGTGCAGAAATTTTCCATTTGTATTATTAGAGGTATTTTCTTTAAAGAGAGTTTCTATTAGCTGTGTGACCCTGGGCAAGTCACTTAGCCCCAATTGCCTAAAATAAAGAGTTTCCATCATAAGCCTAGACCATAATAAATAAACAAATAAAGAAAAATATATATAGAAAAAGTAATAGCTAGATAGATAGATGGATAGATGTAGGAAGTAGGCTCAAGAAAACTGGGTTCTGTTCCTGACTCACATATTGTATAATTTCTTTCTTTCCTTCCTTCCTGCCAACTCCAAATTTCAATGAGCTTATGATTCCAAAACATGTAATTAATAACATCAATTTACTGTATGTGTGTATGTATGCATGTGTATATAGGTGTGTGTGTGTGTGTGTGTTGGACCTACAGAAAAGGGATAAAGTGGGCCTCCCTATAAGATTGTCCTTTGGATTTTGCCTTACCTGCTCATCACAAGTTTGATAACATCATTCATAATTTCATACCTGAGCATGTCATGAGGACTGTAGCTTGCTTTTCAGTGCTCCCTGCCCTTCGCCCAATGTAAAAGGTGCTTAATAAGTCTTGATTGAATGAATCCTCCTATCCTAAAAAGATCCCTTTGTGGTATAGGGAAAGAACACTTATACAATCTGAGGATCAGGATCCAAACCCTAACTTTTGATGCTTATTCTGTGTGCCCTGGAGCAAATCATTTAACTTCCTTGAGGCTCAGTTTCCTCATCTGCAAAATAAGGATGTTGAATTCCACTGCCTCTGAAGGTAGCTAGGTGGTGTAGTGGATAGATGCCAGGCCTGGAAGCAGGGAAACCTGCATTTAAATATGGCCACAGACACTTATTAACTGTGTGACTTTGGGCAAGGCACTTAATCTCTGCCGCAGTTTCTTGGATTGTAAAATGGGGATTATAGTAGAGGGTTGTTGTGAGAATTAAATGACAAGATGTTTGTAAAGTGTTTTTCACAGTGCCGGGCACATAGTAGGTGCTATATAAATGCTAGTTATTTATCGTTATAATATATTATTGTTATCATCACCATCATCATTATCATCCCTTACAGCTTTAGAGCTATGATCTTGTCATCCAGGGTAGACACTCATACCATTCAAATACATTGCAGTCCTCACTGCTCCTCCATGTACAGGCTTCATGAACTGCTTCGGCTAAAAAAAAATCCCTGCTCAAAGGCTAATCTTTGAAAGCTCCTCAGAACTGTAAAGAAAGATGTAAAGAGTATTGAACTTGGTGTCAGACCTACCCCCAGTTACCAGTTGTATAACCTTAGGCAACTCGTTTACCCCATCCAGGCCTCAGTTCCTCATCTGTAAAATGAGTGATTCAGAGTGATCTCTAAGGCTCTTTCTAGCTCTGAAGCTCTAAGTCCTATTTCTTGTGAAAAAATAAAAGTACATTTCTAATTCTATGACCTTGCATTTTAGCTCAGTTGTTTCTTTAGCTAGGAGAAGAAAGAGCTTTAATTACATGAGAGATTAAGAGTAGATGTTCTTGACTCTATTTTGAACTGACGTTTTCCCCTTGAATTTGCAGGCCTCCTCCATCTTCACAGTGCTTCTGCTTCTTGAGGGTGGCTTGTTCTCCTCTTCCTCCCCTCCCCCCTCCAGAATGCTGGAGAATATCTCCCAGTACATTGATCTTCATCAAAATGAATTTATTCAGGTAGGAATAAATGTCTATTTCTAATTTAAGAATCTACCCCTCAGGTGAAGAGGGGGAATTGTCAATGATTCCTCACCACCTTTCTCTGAAAGGCCGTGTGTCATTGGAAAGAACTCATTTGGAATCAAAGGACTTGGGTTCAAAACATGGCTCTGTCATCACTGTGACCTTAGGCAAGTTATTTCTCCTCTCTGGGCCTAAATTTCTTTGTCTGTAAAACAAGAAGATTACACTAGATGATCTCTGATGTCCCTTTTAGCTCTAAATCTGGGACCCTGTAATGAAGTCCCATCCAGACGAGGAAACAAAATCTCAGGACACCTAAATAACTTGCCCAGCTTCACATAGTTAATAACTGTCTGAGGGAGGACTAGAACTCAGGTCTCCTTGATTTTCAGTCCACTATTCTTGTCCTTGACACTGGACTGCTGTTTATCTGTAAAACAGAGTCATCTTGTTTTATGATCTAAGTCACAAATGTGAATGTGTGACTTAGAAGTCCAGTCAGGTGACTTGCCTTAATTTTTCTTTTCACATTGGATAGTTGAATTGGTAGCAAGCCCTGTTTGTTAGAAATTTTAATGGAGATTTACTGAATAGGATTGCATTAACAGAAAAGTGTCCCAAGTTGGACTTGAAATCCAAATACATCTTTCTCTACTGCTAAAAATACACCCAGTCTTATAACAATCAGGTAACAGCAATAATGTTAATAAACAAGGAAATCAGAAAGACCGCAAAAAATCCAGGATAAAATTTTACCTTCTGAATTTCTGGTCTAAGAACGTATGTATATAAAACAGAATTTGTTCCACCAATGAGCAATTTGTTAGAAGTAAAGAGAAGACTCTTTATTAGAAGTGGGTCAGTAAAAGCACAAGCAATTTTAACTAGAAAGATCATGAATGGAATGTAAGATGTAGATATTAAGGCAAAGAGTCCAAGACCAATCTTTTTTCCTCTGAGAAAATCTTTTAAATAAAAATGTAGATTTAGAAAAAAAATACCATAGCATAAATATCAGTTAAAAAAGTACAGAAGACCAGAAGTTTAACAGGCCATTTATACCAAATCAGAAATTCAGAATCATTGAAGTGTCAATGCAAAACAACTGGATATATAACTGAAAGAAAGGTAGCCTGGCCTAATGGTTATAGGCCTATCCTTGGAAACAGACACATCTGGGTTCAAGTCCTGCCTTCAACAGATATTGATCATGGGACCAATGGATAAATCACTTAACCTCATAGTATACTTGGCAACTTTCTAAAATTCCAAATGATAGACTATTTCTATATTAAAGGATGTGGAGTTTCCACACTAGAAAGTTTCTTACATCAATGAAATCAAAAACAAAATGCCTAAAAATCCCTTTAGGATCCTTACTGTTTTAAGCAAGTCTGGTGTACCACATTTCATGATGTCCCAAGGTAGCATAAGGGCAAGCAGTAGCCAAATACAATCAAGATGAGAAGAAAGACAAGGCCACAGCATGACCATTTGCTAGGAAAAGCCAAAAGAGGGGAGGCTGGCTGGTCTCACAACCTTAAAAACTCTAAACAAGAAACAAAGATTCGCTGTTCCCTGGCCAATCTGTATGACTCCAGAGGCCATGTAGAACTGATGGTGGTGGTGATGGTGGTCCCTTGATCTTTTGATTATTTGGTTATTATATTACATATTATATTCACAAAAAAAGGACAGATGCTTATTAGAAAGGTCCTGTATTACTGAAGTTCTTAATGAAAAACTATACATCTCATAGCAATAACTTTTAAACACTTTTTTGCTGGCCAATAGTCTCATCGGATAACCCCAAGAATAACTACCAGTTTGTTAGTTCCTCTCTTACCTTCCTATCATGTGATTATTATTTGCTTGCATTTAGACAAAGGGAAAAGAAGGCAATTTGGTAGGTTCAGACTTGAAATATTCCTGAATACTTGAGGAGCAGATTTCTTTAGGTATTGTTGCCTTTTCCCCTTCCCCTTCCTCTACACTAACTAGATCACTGACTTTCCTTATAGTCACTTAAGGAGTGGGTGGCCATTGAGAGTGATTCTATTCAACCTCTGCCTCACTTCAGACAAGAAATCTTCAAAATGATGGATATAGCTGCAGACAAGCTTCGACACTTAGGAGCTGCTGTAGATTCAATAGACATGGGACATCAAGAGGTAATATGCCTTATCTTACTTCCATTAACCATTGAAATTCTCTGCCCTACAGTTGATTATCTAATTTCTAATGGAGGTGGTGATGTGTCTCTTTAGTATTTGCAGAATACTGGATAAATTTTTTCCTTCAATATATTTGTCGTATTCCAGTTTACTTTATCGTATTATCCTGCCTCACACCTATCATATTAGCTGACACAAAAGAAAAGACAAATGACAAATGCTGGAGGACTTGTGGAAAAGCAGGGGCACTAATGCATTGTTGTTCATGGAGTTGTGAACTAATCCAGCCATTCTGGAGAACAGTTTGGAACTACACTCAAAGGGCTATAAAACTGTACTTACACTTCTACCCAGCAATGCCACTACTTAGTCTGTATTCCAAAGACATCAAAGAAGAAGAAAAAAAAAAGAAAGAGGAAAAGGATCTATTTGTTCTAAAATATTTCTAGCAGCTCATTTTATGGTGGCAAAGAATTGGAAATTGAAGGGATGCCCATCAATTGGAGAATGGATGAACAAGTTGTGGTATTTGATTATTGATGGAATACTATTATACTATAAAAAATGACAAAGGGTATGGTGTCAGAAAAATCTAGGAGGACTTATATGAACTGATGCAAAATGAAGTGAACAGAACCAAAAAACTATTATATATAGTAACAATATTGTAAGGATGATCAACTGTGAAAGACTCAGCTACTCTGATCAATACAATGATCCATGACAATTCCAAAGGACGCATGATGAAAAATGCTATCTATCTCCAAAGAGAAAACAGATGAACTCTGAGTACAGAATGAAGTATATTTTTTCCACTTTATTCTTGGCTTTTTTTTTTTCAACATGGCTAATATGGAAATATCTTTTGTATGACTTCATGTATAATGGGTATCATATTGCTTGCTTTATAAAATAGTAAGGGAGTGGCTGGAAGGAGGGAGAGAATTTAGAACTCAAAATAAAAAAGAATGTTAAAAAAAATAAGCATAATTTAAAAAAAAAGATGTAGACTCTTCCAGCGACAAAGCCAATGGAAACAGACTCTTCCACTGATTAAAAAAAAAAGAAATTAATTAAATTGAATTCTACCTACCCTGAATGTGACACTTAGCTAAAATGATGATTTCATGAGGATGCATGGTCTCTCCACCAGAGAATATCATAATCCCTCTATTCTTTTTTCTTTTTAAAGCTTTTACAAAGTAGTATTTACTTTAAAGATGTTAGAAAAACAAAATTACAAACATTTGCCCCTAATCCTTCAGAGGCACACTCTCCCCTATACCACATCACTCTCTAGGAAGAGTGTGCTTACTCTTAACAAAGTTTCTCCATAGCATTGGTCCCACCAAGTTCATATGCAGGTGTGGTGTGACTGCTGGATATGTCCTTGTATCAGGGCTGGGACCTGAAGGTCAATTTCAAAGGCTAGTCTTTGATCTGTGGGGCATCGATGCTAGACTAGTGGCAAAACCCAGACTCCTGACCTTTTGAAACTAATGAGATCAGAGGTTCCAATCCCTTTACCTAAAACAGAAAAGAGCAAATACAAAGAACAACAACTCAGATCCATTTCATGGGGCCACATGGGCTCAGAAGGGAGAAGGCCCAAGGCTTCATCTTAAGAGCATTGTCTCTCATTGGACATCATCTGTGAGAGTCACACCAAGAACAGAGTTTTGGTTTTCCTTTAGTCCTGCATGGAGGAGTCATGTAATGTTCTGAAGACCTCCCTCTGTGTTTTGTTCTGTTTTTTCATATCTTGAGGATGCTAATGTAGCACTCAGGCTGTGCATCTTATCTCCTAGTCTTTTTGTATAACTAGCCCATGTCCCTTTATGGTTTTGTGTCATTGATAATATCTTTTGTCCCCATTCTTATTTGTGTAAGTCATCAATGACACAATCAGTCTCATTCCTACCTTGAAATCTTTACTCTTCAAGTCATTCTTCTGTTTGAATTAAAATGCATGTAAATTACTCTAGATTCTAGACTCTATTTTAACCTTTCATGTCATTAGAAGAATTAAAAATTTCAATCATAAATGGCAATCTTAAATCTTAAATTCTTACCTTTGTTTTGGGATCAGTTTGACCAAGAGGGTTCTGGACATTTATTGATCATTGGAAGGTAGGTGGCACAGTAGACAGAGCACTGGACTTGGAGTAAGGAAGCTGAGTTCAAATCCAGTCTCCAGCACTCCAGCTGTGTGACCCTGGCTAAGTCACTTAACCGCTGTTTGCCTCAGTTTCCTCATGGGTGAAATTGGACAATAATGTCATCTATCTCCCAAAGTTGTTTTGAAGTTCAAATGAAATAATAATTGTAAAATGCTTAGCTAGTACCTTGCATATAGTAAGCACTATACATGTTAGATATTATTAGCTATTCTTATTGATCTCAGAGCAGTTGACCTTCAAAGACTCATTGAAGGGAATGAATAAACAAATGTTTTACTTGTTTGTATGTTGAAAACACTTTATTTTTAATTTAAAATTTTTAAAATATTTTTATTTATTTCATTAAATATTTCCCAATCACATGTAAAAATTTTGACAATCATTTTTAAAATATCGAGTTCCAAATTCTCTCCCTCTCTCCTGCCTCTCCCCCCACCTTGAGAAGGCAAGCAATTTGACATTGATCATATATGTGAAGTCATGCAAAACATATTTCCACATTAGCCACATTGCAAAAGAAAACACAAACCCAAAAAAAAAACCCCAAGAGAAAAAAAAAGATATGCTTCAATCTACATTCAGAGTTCATCAATTCTCTCTCTCTCTGGAGGTGGACAGCATTTTTCATCATGGTCCTTTGGATTTGTCTTGGATCATTTTAACCATCAGAGCGGCTAAGTTTTTCACAGTTGATCATCCTTACAATATTACTGTTACTGTGTAAACTGTTCTCCTGGTTCTGCTCAATTCACTTTGCATAAATTCATATGAGTCTTCCCAGGTTTTTCCGAAAGCATCTCCTTTGTCATTTCTTATAGCACAATAGTATTCCATCATAATTATATACCGCAATTTGTTCAGCCATTCCCCAGTTCATGGACATTGCCTCAATTTTCAATTCTTTGCCACCACAAAAAAGAGCTGCTATAAATTTTTTTTATGAATAAGTCCTTTTCTATTTTCTTTTATCTCTTTGAAATACAAATCTAGTAGTGGTATTGTTGGGTCAAAGGGATGTGGAGTTTTGTAGCTCTTTGGGCCAAGTTCCAAATTGTTCTCCATAATGGTTGGATCAGTTCACAATTCCATGAACAATGTATTAATGTCCCTGCTTTTCCACATCCCCTCCAGCATTTGTTACTTTCCTTTTCTGTTGTGTTAACTAATCTGATAGGTGTGAGATAGTACTAACTAATCTGATAGATAAAGGTGGTACCTCAGAGTTGTTTTAATTTGCATTTCTCTAATCAATAGTGATTTAGAGCATTTTTTCAGATGACTATTGATAGCTTTGATTTCTTTGAAAAATTGTCTGTTCATTTCATCATTTATCAATTGGGGAACAACTCATATTCTTACAAATTTGACTCAGTTCTCTATATATTTGAGTCTTTTATCAGAGAAACTTGCTGTAAAAATTTTGTTCCAGATTCCTGGAAAACATTTTATTTTTAATAAAGTTTTCCCATAACTTTCCATGAAGTGGATCAGTCATATAATATACATTTTAGAGACTAGCCAGGCATAATGGTATTCCTATAATCTCAGCTTAGGGTGGAAAATCTCTTGAGCTTTGAAATTTTGAGCTTCAATGAACTATTCCAACCAGTGTCTAAGTTCAGCATTAATATGGTGAACCTCCAAGACCAGGAAGAGAGAAGATGGGAGAAGGAGAGAAGCCCTGGATTTTCTAAAGAAGGATGAACTGGCCCAGGTCAAAAATGGAGTGGGACAAAACTCTCATTTTTATCAGATGTGCTTCTAGCCTGGGTAGGACAGAGAGACCTGGTCTTAATATTAAAATAAAATAAAATAAATGGAAAAACCAAGACACAAAGAAATAATTATTGGCTACACAACAATTCAAATTACATGAGATTCTAATCCTACATTTCTAGCTTCTCTGAAAAACTAATACTATTTCTCTTTTCTTTTTATAATTATGCTTCATTTATTTATTTATTTTAACATTTAGGAAAATTTTTTTGAATTCCAAATTCTCTCCCTCCCCCATCCATTGAGAAGGCAAGCTATATGACAAGACTTGTTTTAATGTGTTTACTTGTATTTCTGCAGCTACCTGATGGGCAGAATCTTCCAATACCTCCCATTCTTCTAGCTGAACTTGGTAATGATCCAAAGAAACCCACAGTGTGCTTTTATGGTCACTTGGATGTGCAGCCTGCCAAAAAAGAGGATGGGTGGCATACAGACCCCTTCACCCTGGTAGAAGTTGATGGTTAGTACTTTGTTCATTTTTGTTTCTTTGGCATAATTATATTTCTAAAACTAATTAGTTGTTTATGTAATTTAAAGTGTTGTTCAATTTTGTTGACATTATCATTAAAATTCTCATTATCTTACTGGCTTCTTTCCAGTGGATTGGTCACTATCCCAAAATTATCTACTTGGAAATATCTCAGAAATATTTGATGAGACTTCATGTAAGATGGTAGAACAGGAGCCAGCTGTGCCTAAATCACCTCAAGGAATTAGAAATATTGTCCAACCTTCTCCATATTCCATCAAAAAAAAAAAGAAGAAAAAGAAAGCAAAAACAAATTTGCAAAAATTACTAGGGTAGTAGAGTAGTAACACCCTTTTATATAACAAATCACTTTACATACATTATCTCAGTTGATGTTGACAACTGTGTAAGATTAATGTATGTATGACTATTTCTAATTTAAAGATGAAATAGGCTGAGAGAGGTTGAGTGAATTGCCCAAGGTCACACAGCTACTGTGTCAGAGATTGGATTGAAATCCAGGTCACTCCTAATTGAAGTTCCAAGGCTCTTTTTACTACTGGAGGAGAAATATTATTACCACCACTGCCTGTAGAGCCACAATGTCTTGCTGTCTTAGAGTTCTTGAGCCTGTACAGAAACTTACATCTCCAGTTACTGGTGTGCTGCCTCCTTTGGCATGCCAAATAGAGCCATTTGTAGCTTATCATCTCTCTGACTTTTTGAGATGTGAATCATGAATTGCTGAGGCCTTTCCCTACTCCCTTTGACTGCAACACCACACATGCAGAATGGTTGCTACTCACATGTAAGCTCCAGAAAGCCACACACACACACACACACACACACACACACACACCCACCCCACCACCACCACCACCACCACCACCACCAGCAGAAGCTAGGACATCATTCTAATTTCCCAATCCCAACACTCAGCCTGAGCTGAGGGGAGTCTCCAATATCTCCAGTTACTTTTCCAGGTGGGGTCCTGGAACCAGATTGATCCAGGCCTCTGGAAGACACCTGATACCTTACTAGAACAGTGAGTATTCTCTCTGGCTCTCTTTTCAAAATGTCAGACTTGATAAGAGGGACATCTCCTGACCTCCTTATTTTCTATGCTTGTCCAAAGTCTGAAGAAAACTTGGGCTTTCTTCCTCACTCTAATCAATAAATAACAAAAATAACAAGCCTATAATATAATAGAATTGAAAAAGCAATTAACTGGAAAAAAAGAAAGCAGGAGCAAGTAACAGTTTCAAAAGAAAAAGTAAGAAGTAAAAGAAGTCAGTCAATTGAGTTCATAGATACCAAAATTTAAAAATAGCCACTGCATTCCAAAATCTAATTACAGGAAACTTTCCAGAGGGGAGAAGATAAAGCAACACTGACATTATAAACAATACAGAGGATCCCACCTTGAAGAAATCCTAACTAAAATTCTGTAAGGTATATAATTGTTAAACTACAAAATTACAAAGACAAAGAAAAAATTCTCTAATAATTGAAAAAGAAAAAGAAATTATACTTTTAAAATACAAATTAGAGCAATATCAGACTTTCTAAAAACTAGGATAAATTTTGAAGAGACACAAAAATATACAAAAATATTTTTAAAGCAATAGGATTGTGTCCAGAAGGCCAATGTTAAAGAATGCTAATTCCCTGCTGACAGAAAACAGAACTCAAGATGTAGAAAGAAAAATATTTTTTAACATGGCCATGTAACAGTATGTTGTGCTTAACTGTGCATATTTGTCGCAAGGGTTTTGTTTTCCTTTTCTTTTCAGCTGGAGGAAGGTATAAGGCAGAATAAATAAGTGCACATTATTGGGGGGGAAATTCAAAAATAAAACTGTACTCTAAAATCACATATTCTAAACATGACTATTAAAAAAAAACAACAAAAAGACTAGTATTAATTCATGAAACATAGCACATAGCTAAATTATAAAAAATAGACAATTTAAAGGCAATAGATTATTATCTATAAAATTATGAATTGTCAAAATTGAAATAATAGAAAATTAATCATCCAAATCAAATAGGACCAAGAAAGAAATAAGATGCCATCATAGAATTATACTATGAATAACAATACGTGGCCAAGATGATTCATAGGTCAATTCTTTCAAACTTTCCAAGAACAAGTTATCCCTACATTACATAGATTACATTATTTACAAATGCAGAGAATGCTGGGATACTACCCAATCCTGCTTATGAAGGAAATACAGAGTTGACTTAAAAACCTGGTAAAAAGAACAATATAAAATAAAAACTATAGCCCAATTTCCCTAATGAATATAGGTGCAGAAATACCAAATAAAATATTAACATCAATATAGCAACATATTTTTAAAATTATTCATCATGATAAAACAGGGTTTATATAAGGTATGTAAATCTGGTTCATCATCAGAAAAACTATCACATGATGCAACATATAAACAAAACTATTTTTAAAAGTTTTACAATTATATTAATAATATTTGCTCATAACAAAAATAATAAAACATGTAGAAATTGGGGGATTTTTCCTCAACATAATAAAAGTATCTACCTTAAGCCAGGAGTTGACATAAAATACAATGAAAACAGAAGTATTCCCACCAAAAAAGGTACAGAACAAGGATGTCCATTTTCATCACTTTTATTTGACATGGTTTTGGAAATTCTAGTCGTTTCAATAAGACAAGAAAATATTGGAAAGGAATTACTCAAAATATCATTATTTACAGGTAACATTGGTCTATGCGAAAAATCCAACTGTCTCAATCAGAAAATTAATGATAAAAATACACAAACTCAGCAATGACACAGAATTCAAGATCAACCCAGGAAAATCATTTGAATTTTATTTGCCAGCACTAAAAATAAAGAAAATATCATAAATATGAAACCCAATTTATAATAACAACAAACTCAAATATATTTGGGAATCAACCTACCCAGAAATATATGCCCTATAAAAGGACAACAATAAAGCTACAATATTGGAAACAAAGGAATACCTAAATAATTGGAAATCAATGTTAAGAATGGGTCAGATTAATATAATAAAAATGACCACAATCTCCAAATTCACTTACAAGTTTAATGAAATACCAATCAAAAGAGCAAAGTACTTATTTATAGAAATGGATGAAAACACAACGAAATATAAATAGAAAAACAAATAGGCAATAAAATCAAGGGGAAGGCTAGGGGGAAAATAAGGTAATATTGGTAGTTATACACTCCCAGACTTTAAAACATATAAAGCAGTTCTCAAAACTATCCAGAACTAGATAAAAAAAGATCAGTAGAACAGCTTACAGATGCCAGATATCTAACCAAATATACATAAAATACTAAAGTTTGATATAGCAGACAAAAACTGGGGAAATGGCTCATTATTAATAGATGGACTTGGAAAAACTGCTTAGTAATTTGGTGAAAATGGATTTAGACCCATATCTCATACTATATACCACACTGAATTCTAGCTGGGTAATAGACTTAAGCATACAAAGAGAAACTATTTTAAAAGATAGAAGAAAGGGACATTTATCAAAATTGTGAAGGGGAAATAATATTTCTATTGTCAGAGGGACTTATTAGGGCAAGACATATGTGTTTGATTACATTAAGACAAATTTTTTTATACAACAAAAACAATACAAAGAAAAATAAAAGTAACAGATAGGAAAAATACTTATGACCAGTATGACATATAAAAACTTTACATCTAAAATACATGAGGAACTATTAAAATTTTCATAGATCCAGTTCAAAATATACAAATGGTCAAAGGCTACAACAGGGCAATTTTAAAAAGAGGAAACATAAATTGTTAATAATCAATTGAAAAATGCTCAACTTTAATAATTAAAAGGAATACAAATTAAAACAACTTTGAGATAACACCTCAAATTGGCAAAAATAATTAAAACATTAAAACTCAGTGCTAGTGGGGTTGTATAAAAACTGGTACACTCATTAGTTGTTGAAAGAATTTGAAACTAGTAGAATCTTTTTGAAAAATGCTCTAGCAGTACACAGTAAATGTAACAAAAATAAATATACCCTTTGACTTATTTATCCTAGTGTTCAGAATATGTATCCTAAGAGTATTATCACAAAGAAAAAAAGCTATTATGTTAAAGATTTTTATAGTAGTGTTATTTTAAATTACAAAAAATAAGAAAGACTGGAAAGAAGGAAGGAAGGAAGGAAAACAATCTAAACATTTATTTAATCTAAACATAGTTAAATAGTTATATTTAAATAAATAATTTAATAATAGTTAAATAAATTATGTTATACTCCTGTAAAAGAATATTATAATAAAATTCAGATTAAAAAGTATAAGGAATATAAAGAAATTTACAAAGACCTTTTGTAAATAATGAAAAACGAAAAATACCAGATCCAGAAAAATGCAAAACTTACTATAACCACAAAAGGGATAAAAAAAAATGGACAAGAATGAATGAATCCTTGTGGAAATTGTAAAAGGAGTGACTGAAAAGTGATGATGTTGTATGCATTGAAATTAATTTATTTAAATGAAAATAGTTGCAAAGTAGGAATAATTGGTTGTATTGATTTTTCATATTAAGTTTATATAGGTATAGGAATTGGACCTGTGATTTCATTGTTATAGGGAATTCCCAGCTTCCAAAACTCTCTATACCAATTCAGGTCAACGTCTCTGCAAGCTAGTCTTACACTTGCCTAGAGTACTGAGGAGCAGTTAGGTGATGCAGTGGATAGAGCAAGCTAGGCCTGGAGTCTGGAAGATCTGAGTTCAAATCTAGCCTTAGACATTTACTAGCTGTGTGACCCTGGACAAGTCACTTAACCATGTTAGCCTCAGCTTTCTCATCTGTAAAATTAGCTGGAGAAGGAAATGGCAAACCGCTCCAGTATCTTTGCCAAGAAAACCCCAAATGGCTTCATGAAGAGTTAGACATGACTGAACAAAAACAACAACCAAGCACTGAGAGATTGTGACTTGCTCAGAGTCACATAGCCAGTATGTATCAGAGGTAGTACATGAACCCAGATCTTCCTGGATCCACATCCAAGTCTCCATTCTCTATGCCATGCTGTCTCTTGAATTTTAGAATTCATTAAAGGAAGAAAAGTATTTGACTTTTTCCAAGAATTTACAAAAGATGATGTGGTTTGTTATTTATGACCTCATTTATGTAAAATAAATTTTATTGATGACTTTTGTCTTTATTAGATATTTCAGCAAATATAATGAATAGAAATGTTATTTCACCTCCAGCTTATCCTTCCCCTCATCAGATGATTTGATTTACTACTACTGATTTTCTTTCATTTGTCAAAGAGCCCATGAGCTCTTGAACTGCTGGATGGATTAGCTCACCAGTAAGATGACTTCTCAATTAATGGTGAGAATGTCTTCCCGTTTAAAAATACCAAACCAATAATTTATATTTTATGAAGACGAAGAAAAAAAAACAAATTGTAACAAACAATTGAGAGGGACTGGGAAATTTTTCATTCATTCTTCATTTAGTTGCAAGTTTTCAAAATGACAGATTATATGACATTCAGTTGCAAATATATAGATCTCTTCCAATAAGCAATGGTCAAGGAGTCAACCTGTTACAAAGGCACTGTGATGTACATTGTCTTACATTGGTCAACCATCAAATGAATGTGAAATTTATGTTTATGAAATGTACTTTGCAATTTCAGAACAAGATTTGTTCAAGGCTAAAATGAAAATGTGCTGTTAACATAATCATTCATCATGTTAAATTTGTTTTGAACTTCTTAAACTTGGCAGAAGTTTAAAAAACTGTTCTAACCTTTTTTTTTCCTTTTCCCACTTAAAGGAAAACTTTATGGACGAGGAGCAACAGACAATAAAGGACCTGTTTTGGCTTGGATTAATGCAGTGGGCGCCTTCCAAGCCCTCAACCAAGTATGTCACCAATGGCCTATGGTATTGAATTTAAAAGGATGTAGAAAGTGGTCATTAGCCTTATGGAAATAATAATACATTCAGTCACAATAGATAACTGGAAAGTATCTCTGAATAGATAAAATTAAATTGAGGAAGAATTTTTTTTAAGCCACACTTAGGTGTGATACTTCTTAGGTAGGACTGTGTCTTATTAATCCTCAGATACATAGATATATAATATATGTGTGTATGTATATATAAATACATATGAATATATGCCTCCACTAGCCTATTTATCATTTCAAACCATCAGGGAGCATTATTTAGCAGTCTGTTGTTTACTGGGAATAGGGTAGGTGGTTTCAGTCTTTTTTTCAGTCATGTCTAACTCTTCGTGACCCCATTTGAGGTTTTCTTGGCAGAGACTTGGTTTGCCATTTCTTTCTCCAGCTCATTTTATAGATGAGGAAACTGAGGCAAGCAGGATTAAGTAACTTGTCCAGGGTTACACAACTAGTAAGTGTCTGAGACTAAATTCAAACTCAAGAAGATGAGTCTTCCTGACACCAGGCTGGGTACTCTATTCACTGTGCTATCTAGCTGCCCAGGGCTAGGTGGTATTCAATATTTAAAGGACCTGAAATTTCATTGCTATAGGTATACTCTTGACTTATAACTACCTGATCACTTAGCAGACAATCTTTGAGAGATACTATGACTGAAAAATTAATGACCTTGCATATAACTTGGTGATGAATCTCTCTGAACTTTATTAGACTGATCCTTGGATCATAGAATTACGATGGGGCACTGGGCAGTACTCACCTTTCTACCTTGGTAGGACATGTGAGAACCTGTTTGGTAGTGGTGTTGCCTTAAAGAAACCAGAGTCATTACCTCCACACCACAATAAGGTATTGAAGTAGAGATTTCCCGGAAGACATTTCAGTGTAATTATGACTCTTAAAATGAAAAATTATAATATTGCTACTTTGGCATCTACCAATGCCTCCCAGAATAAAGATAGTTCTTCTCAGACTGGCTATATGTCCGTAGACTCTAGATAGTTTTTGAATCTCACACTGATTGAGTAATTCTGTCACAGAAATTCAACAAATATTCTGCTAAGTGTTGAAGGAGAGACAATTTAGATTAGACAAGGCCTTTGCCCTCAATCATTTAGTCTGTGGGATCAGAACATCATAGATTTAGGGCTGGAAGGGACCTTAGAGGTTATCTAATCCAACCTCTCATTCACTGTAAAGAAACAGGCCTAGAAAGGTCAAGGGGCTTAACAAGAACCCGAATCTGAACCCAAGCCCTCCAACTCCAAACTCAACACCCTTCCACTGTACCATGCTGTCTCTCATAAGGAGATACGCAGATAATGAGACACAAAAGTTATAGTTGATATCTTTATATTCTTTGTATAGTATTTTATTATGTTAGTAATGCTGTTTGGTGTGATTGTAACAACAGAAATAGCCATTTAAAATCTTGAAGCATTATGCCATTTATTTAAGAGTAAACGGATCAAGAACAGTCAATGCTTATAGGTATCTGCTACTTCAGCTTAATTATTCTTCTTTCTTAGCCCAATACTTACTTTTCTCTCCACTCCAATTCACATACACTAATGGAGATGTGAATTGGAACCAGGACAAGCTTGCTATCAGGCAAGCTCTGGGTTCAATTTCTGCTTCTAATACCTATAAGCTGTGTGACATGAGTCAGTTACGTGATACAGAGATAAAGTATCGGTTCTGAGTCAGGAAGATATGACTTCATCTCTATTCTCAGACACTTACTAGTGTGTGTGACCCTAGGCATGTAAGTTAATATCTGCCTCAGTTTCCTCATCTGTAAAATGGGAATAATAATAACACCTATCTCTTAGAATTATTGTGAGGATCAAATGAGATAATAAATGTAAAACATTTAACACAGTGCCTGGCACACAGCAGATACTTAATAAATGTTAGTTGTTTTTAATAATATTTTTTACTATTATGCCTTGGTCAGCTTACCAAAACTGAGTTGTAGAAAAGGTTCTAGGCTGCATTAATAGACAGAGTTCCTCCCTAAAAGTTCCCTAGTCTTGGTGAATTAACAGTGGTGGGTTGATTGAGTTTTTTTTTTTTTAATGTAATGCAGACTGGAATTCTCTGGTATTAAAAATATGTGCACTCATAAAACATAATATTTTAAAATGTCCATTGTTGTAGTCTACCCCTTTTCTCTTCCTATCTCTGCCTATCTCATTTATTTATAGATTTAGCTCTGTTGGGAAGAAGCACAGAATAATAAAATCATAGAATGTCAGAACTGCAACGACTTATCCCTCTGGTTCAGATTCCCCATTTTACAGATGAGAAAACTGACTTTCATTGCTGTTGAAGAGAAACCCAAGCTAAGTTGAGCCTGAAGTCCAGGATAACACCCAAGATCGTGGGTACTTCCAGCTCTTGTCAGGGATTCCAGGACTCTTCCAGTGTTGATTAAAACACTTAGGGTCTAACTTAGCAGGAGAGGGGCTATCCCCTCCCTATATTCTCCTGCACTCTGGGCTCAGACCCCATAGGTCCACTGTGGTCCAGCATCCCTAAGATGAGCCTGAGAACTCCCATGTAATTCAGTTTCCCATGGCCAGAACATACTCTTTGACCACAGGACCCTTATTCATCTCGCAGTAAACTTGGCAAGGATCTAAGAACACTTGCACCTGCAGGTCTGGTCTGGTCCAGAAAGACTGGTGTTCTGTCCTTTTCAGATGACAGGATTATTGTTTTATATAAAACCTAAAAGGCACTATGAACATTTAAAAATATATGGATTTCCTCTATGCCAGTTCACATCATAAATCATAAAGGAAAAATGCAGAAAACACCTCAGATTTTTAGCAGTCTGAATATCCTTTTGTGTGTACATTAAAAATGCTTTCATGTATAAAGCCCTGTGAATTCTCACATCTCACAAACCTTGGTTGCCAAAAAAAGCTTGTTGGGTGCCAATGACTTCCCAGCAATTACTTATTAACCAAGTACTGCTATAGTGAGCTCTCATATCAGTAAGATTTCAGTACTCTCAAAAGATTTGCTAAAACATATAGAAATACAATGGGATATAGTTTCATAAATCATTATACCTACACTGCCCTTATCTAACTAGATGAATAAAGTTAACTTATTTTCTAATACAGCCCTCATTTTTCCTTTTTAAAGATTCACTAATCTAAGAGTTTCTTCTCATCATTAGTACTAATTAGTGTGATTCTGTTATACAAAGCTTACACTTGACCTTCTATTTCTTTCTCTACATTTACATTAGCCCAATGCTTTCTGCTCTGGTAAAGGGTTTGGACCTTATTATCTCCTAATGAGGCTCACAAAGACCTGAAGTTAAAAGTTACAAAGATACCAAAAGATCAAAGGCAAAAAGAGGGGAAAACATGTAAAAATTTAAAAGACACTCTTCCATGCTCAAACATTAACTAGAGAAGAAGTCAAGTTCCATTTTTTTCCACAAGATCAAAGTCCTTTGAGAAAATTAAAAAGAAGATTGAAATGATAATTGAAAAGTAACAGATACTTGAAATAGAAATTATCCTAAGGCTCAAATATTAGAAAATCTTTTGAAGGAAGATGGTTAGTTTATGATTCTGAGTATGGTGGGATTTTTGTTGCTACTATTGGTTTGTTACAACAAAGAGATAAAGAGAAAAATAAAAACTACAAAGCCCATGATTGAGTCAGGAAAGAAAAGGGATATTGTCTCAAAGATGGAGTGACCCAGGATTGAACCTTTCCTTTTAGAAGGGAAAATAAAATATCAGTATTCTGAAAGGACACAGTGGAATTATTTCTGACTGGAGGATTCTTTATGATTCTCTCCCCACTACCCTAAGAGAAAACTGATGGATTCTCCATCATGTGCCCTCCACACACTGTTCATCCTGCTCCCTGTGCCTAGATTCCCCTCATACCTTGTTCATTCCTACCTTTCCTTTGAAGCCCAACTCCAATGCTACCTTCTTCATGTACTCCTGGACACTATCATGGAATTGGATAGTTGAAATCAGTCCAATCCACACATGAAAGGAATCTCCACTATAACATACCCGACAAGTGGTTGGATCTCATATACTACTAAGTTTTGCCACTGTCTAGTGCACATATCATCAAATATTATATACTGTATTATAGTAATCTTTGCTTTTGTCTTCTTCCCCAAATAGATTATGAGCTAGCTCCTTGAGACCCTGTCTTAGCGTGCAGTTTGTAACTCCCCTTGTTTCTAGCACAGTGGTCTATACATAGATATGGAAGTGCTGAAGTGATAAATGAGTGAATGAATATGATCCTTCGTCACCAATATTAGAGCATTAAGCTGTTGTGATGCACTATACTATATGACATACAACAAGATTTAACTTGAAATGTCTCTGTACTTGCTATATAAGATGAATCAGATTTGTGAGAACAAGTTATTGAGAATACATATGCACATTTAATTTGAGTTTCCCCAACTGATAGAGAGACAGCCTCAGAACCAGGGACACCTGGATTCCAATCCTACTTCTGATAGGTACTTGACAAATTACCTAACCTGTCAGTGTTCTCAGTAGCTCTCTAAGACGAGCAGGGGCAAAGAAGGTGCCAGCTTATATCGGTAGAGGAATTTCTTTACTAGGATCTCCTTGTAACAGTGAAATCCATTTGCCCCACTAGGCCAGTCTCCATTTAATGAGAGGCAGTACGGTCCACAGAGCAGAGGGAACCATCCTCTGAGTTAAGAAGGCTTAAATTCAGGTCCCAGTCTGGCATATACTGGCTATGGGACCCTGGGCAAGTCCCCTAACCTTTCAGAGTCCTAGGCAACTCTCAAAAGCTATAAATTTCAGAAGTTTCCTGTCTACATTGATAGAGGAAATTTTCTTTCCAAGAGTTCTTATGCCAACAAAATCACAGATCTAGGTCATATAAAAAATTTTAATACAGAAGCATGAGACATAAACAATTCCTGACTTTTGAAAGGTGAGTAGATATATAATTATTAAAATGTTTTGCTTTTTTAATTCAGGATATTCCAGTGAATATTAAATTCATCATTGAAGGAATGGAAGAGGCAGGTTCAGTTTCATTAGATGAACTTGTCAAAAGAGAAAAAGACCGTTTCTTCTCCAATGTTGACTACATTGTCATCTCAGATAACTTGTGGATTAGCAAGAAGAAGCCTGCACTCATTTATGGAACCCGAGGAAACATATACTTCACCGTGGAGGTACTGAGAAAACTGTCAGAAAGCTGAGTGAGAAATATCTGGTTGGGAAAAGGCGAAAGGAAACTAAACGGGTACTTTTGCTCTAGAGCAAGTGTGGTTATAATAGTACTAATCACACAAGAAAGAACTAATTGCATGACCTGACTGGCTCAGAATTACTGCTACAGGGTTATATACAAATATTTTAACTAAATCTTTTATGAACTATATATGTATGCACATATATGTGTACACATGCACACACAAGGTCTCTTAAAGATCTAAGGTACTATTTTACCAATTGTGGTTGTAAAGATTTAGTTTAAACAAGCATTTATCATGCGCCTATTGTATACACCATGATAGGCTCTAGGCAAACATACCAAGACAAAAAGGAAACATCCCCCATGGAGCTTACACCCTATCAAAGGAAAACAAATACACACATATACAAATGTAAAATATGAAGTCACTAGTGTGAATAGGTAACAGCACTTCCCCAAATATATTGCTGGGGAGAACATCCATCGCCCCAGACATCATTATTCCTTGGGATTCTTGCATATCCTAAATTCTGAATTAAACTAAACCAGAGAGCAAGAGGCCCTGAGGGCATTATTTCCTAAGTGGTGCTGTTAATGACTACCATTTCAACATCTGTCACATCACTGATTGTGGAAGTGACTGAGGTTTTTTACTCTGAAGAAAGTATATGCTGTCAAGTACTAAATCCTATGGATAAATCCGATTCTCATTTCATTAATTAAAATGCATGAAACATAATAAACCATAATCAGAATTTACTATTTTCTCTTTGAATTAAAAAATTTATTCCTATGACAAAATCAGAAACTTTCATTCAGAGAATATATTGGCTGATGTCTCAGTTTGTTCTGATTACCTTCTGGCATTTCACCAGAATGCCGAGGAAGCCCTGGGAGTGATGTGCAATAAGTAACAGGGGTTTCCAATGAAGAGAAAAGCCTCTTCAGTAATTTAGAAAATGGTGCCTTCCCTCTATTGACTATCTCCAACTTCTCTTGTATATCTCTTATTTGTACATTTTTGTTTGCATGCTGTCTCCCCATTAGACTGTGACTTAAGAGCAGGGACTAGTTGTTTTTTCTGGGGGGAGTGGGGGGTTGTATCCTTAGTACTTACCACAGTGAGTAGCACATAGCAAGTGCTTAATAAATACTTGTGGACTTGACTATAACTTCTCCATAAAGAGTTTATGGATAGTAAGTGAAGAGTATTGCATAATCTATCTGATGCCACTACATTGATGGTTTTATTTTCTTCTCTCTTTCTATGTTCCAGGGAAGAATTCTATGGGATGGGGAGGTTAGAGCAGTTATTGGGAAGTGATAGTGTTATTAAAGATAAAAAGCATGAATAAAATATTAAACACTACCACTATCACCATCAAAAGATAACACTGTACTGGTCATCTGAGTCAAGGGAATGATTTAAGGTCCTTCCCCACTAAATAGGAGTTTTCTCAGAATATTTTGATACCAGAGAGACATTAAAACTTTTGCCCTCTTGTGGCTCATCAGGGCCTCTAGAGGTCCTCAGAGGTCAGCCCCATCATTCCTCTATTCATTTATCTGCTGAAGGACTGGCTAAATTACTTTACTTCTCCAACCACTATTGGGCCATTATCTTTCTGCTTAACATTTTCTGATTGATTATCTAAAGGAGTGTATGCCTTCATCAACTACATGATCTAAAAGTTCATTTCCTATGATATTCCAACATATGGAAATAGAAACATATTTTTAACTTCCTCCAAGAAAGCCAGAGAGAGCAATTTAAAGAAAATATTTGATCAAGGATGAGAAAGATGAAATTCAGAATATTGTTGGGTGGGGTTTGTCAGATAAAGTAATTGTTTTAGGCTATCACTAAACTGTATCTCTCCAAGTAAAAAGAAAGTTCTTGGACATGGGGATGAACCTTATAGAAGTGTTATTTTAAGAAGATTAATCAGGCAATGCTTTGAAGGGTGAATTGGAGAAGAAAAAGACCAATTAAGAGCTTGAGGTAGTTTAGGCATGAAGTTAGGTATGGTGATGGCAATATGAAGGACAGAAAAGAATGGATTGAAGAGATTTTAAAAAAGAGTCTTACATTCAAAAAACATCTATTAAACATCAACTGTGTGTAAAGCACAGGAGGTGTTTGACATTTTGATAAAACACTATTCTTGCTTCCATGAAACTTATAGCTAGTAGGGGGATATAACACATACTCAAAAACTATGATACAAAATAATTTGTGATGTGGAAAAGCGAGGTCTTGGGTGGTGTTCCAGCAAGAAAATGTTTTTACTGACTAAAGAATTAAGGAAAATTTAAGTTGGGCTTTAGGGGAAGGGAGGTAGGAATCAACAAGAAGGCAGGCTGGGAAGGAGGAGCATTCTTGACATAGGGTACAGCATCAGCAAAGAAACAGAAGCGGAAAAGTGTAGATGATGTGAAAAAGATGGCAAGTAATCTCTTTGACCTGAATATAGGCTATGTGGAGAAAAGTAGCATGACATAAGGCTATAAAGATGCTTAAAGGCAACCTGCTATGGAAGGTACTTGAATAACAAGCTACAGAATTTGAACTTCATTTAATAAACAATTGGAATCCTTTGTGTGGTTTTGAGTAAAAGTGAAAGCTATGCATGTGGAAGATTATTTTGGCATCAGCATAGAAAATGGATTAGAGGTGAGAGAGAGTAGAGGTTGGAGAACTAGATGGTAGGCTATGATAGTATTCTGTCAGGTAATAATGTGAAGCTGGACTGACATAGCAGGCAGGAGAAGCAAAGAAGAGGTTGCAGTGGTAGAATCACTCAATTGGATTTATTAGCTGATTGGGTGTTAGAGAACACCAAAGTGTCAAACATGGGAGACTGGATGGCTACTAGTACTACTAGCAGAAATAGTAAATTCAGAAGGAAGAACTGTTTCAAAGCCAATAAGTGGCAATGATGGAACTCAGATATTCAGATCCCGATTCCAGTGTTCTTTCCTCTATACCAATAGTAGCAGATTATAGGGAATTGAGGAAAGAGTGGATGATGAAGAAATGGAGGAATTGGGTATATTTATTCACAATGTTTGGCTGTAAAAAGGAGAGAGGTCAATAAGGTAAAAAAGGTTATACAACTTCAGAAAGTAAGTACTTGTATGGGTGTTATTGCTTGAGCTCTCTCTCTTTTTTTCACATGAAAAGCTAGTGTCAAAGCAGTAAAAAGAAAAGAAACAAACAAAAAGCAGTAAGTCACTTGCCTCTTTTCTTTCAGGTGAAGTGCAGGGATCAAGATTTTCATTCAGGAACATTTGGTGGCATCCTCAATGAGCCAATGGCTGATTTGGTATCCCTTCTTGGTAACACTTTATTTCATTTCATTTATTAGTCATCATGTAAGCATAAATGAATTCTCTAAAATTCAGTTTGATTTTAATTTCTAAGTACTGGATGACCCCACAACCTGTACAGTTTAGAATGAAGGCAGAATAGATGAGAGATAAGGGAAGGCATTGACCTCAATTCTCCTACATATAGTCCCAGACTAAATAACCCCAATTATTTCACTCAAATTTTAGTCAAATCTATCTTCCTTTTCTCCCAGACTCCTCTTCTCTTAACCTTAAGGGAAAAAAAATTTGGGAAACCACAGGTCAGACTTGGATGGCAATAGAATAGACATCAGGAGATCTGAAAGACCAAAAGAATTATTGATTTAGAGTTGTAAAGAGTATTCTGAACCCCTCATCTCACAGGAAACCAAGATACAGAGAGGTTAAGTGATTTGTCTAAGGACATGCAGGTTTTAAGTTGCAAGGTACCAAGGATTGAAGAGAGGGAAATGTCTTGATTTTCAAAAAAAAAAAAAAAGAAAGAAAATGAAAATAGTCTGAAAACTCTAAGCCAGTGAGCTTCATCTCGATTCCTTAAAAAGTTCTAGAATATATCATTTAAAACATAGGTAGAGAACATTTAGAAAGTTAAGAGCAGGCATAGCTTCATCAAGAATAGGTGATGACAGACTTACCTTATTTCCTTTTCTTAACAGGTATACTAAGCTGGTATATCAGAAGAATGCTCCAGAGAGAGCTTGCCTAGGTTTTTTAGCAGAGCCATTTGATAAAAGTATCTCATGCTATTGAATGGATGAAAGATAGAAAGATATGGATTAGATGATCATCTTTTTTTTAGATGGATTCAGAACTGGTAAAATGACCTGACTCAGTTATCTTTAGTGGTTCAAAGTCAGCTTGGCAGCGGGTTTCCAGTAGAATGCCTCAGGCACCTGTGGTTGGTCCTGGGCCATTAACATTGATTTGGATAAAAACACAGATGGCATTCTCCCTACATTTACAGATGACACCAAGCTTGAAGGGATAGCTAACAAACTTGATGTCAGGGTCAGGATCTAAAAAGATCTTGATAGTTGAGCATTGGGCTGAAACTAAAATAATGACATTCAATAGGGATAAAGTCATTACCTTATACTTGGGTTCAAACAATCAATCTTGCAAGTAGAGAATGAAGGAGGTATGTTTGGTTAAGTAGTTATCTGAAAAAGATATGGAGGTCAATGGACTGCAACATATGAGTCAGCAGTGTGATATGGCAACCAAAAAGTCTGGGCTACCTTCAGAAAGACACAGCTTCTAGGAATAAGGAGATTATAGTCATTCTGTACCCTGGTCTAGTCAGACCACATCTGGCATTTCTGGGCACCATAGTTTATGGCACAGTGGATGGAGTACCAGGCCTGAAGTCAGGAAGACATCTTCCTGAATTCAAATGTGGCCTCAGACACTTACTATCTGTGTGACTTTGGACAAATCCCTTAACCCTATTTGCCTCAGTTCCACGTCTGCAAAATGAACTGGAGAAGGAAATGGCAAATAACTCCAGTATCCTTGCCAAGAAAACCCTAAATGGAGTCACAAAGAGTCAGACATGATTGAAACGACTGAACAACACCACCATAGTTTAGGAAGCACATTGATCAGCTGGAAAGCATAGAAGAAGGCAACCTTGAGTCCATGAGGATTGGTTGAAAAAAACAAAACCCGGGGATATTTAATTTAGAGAAAAGAAGACTAAAGGTGGGGAGGAGCTGAATACATGATAACTGTCTTCAAGTATTTCAAAGATCATTATGTGGAAGAGGGATTAGCCTTGTTCTGTTTGGTTCCAAAGGCCAGAACCAGGATCCATGAGTAGAAATAGAAAGTGATAAACTAGGTTTGATGTCAGGGAAAAAAAATTGTAACACTCAGAGCTGTCCAGAAGTGGAAGAGGGTGTCTTAGGAGATGAGGGGTTCTCCACAGTCTGGATGACCATTTGTCAGGTATATTACGGTGGCATCCCTTTTAGGTGTTGGTTGAACCAGGAGGCTGCTGAGGTCCCTTCCAACTCTCAGATTTTATAATCTTTGAAGGAGCAAAATTAGGACTTAAGCTCAGGTCCCCTGACTCCAATTCTAGTATTTTTTCCCACTATGACACACAGCAGCCTATTGTTTACTCCTTTAATATAGGTACTCCCAATCCACTTGGGCAATTTTGCCATTATAGTGATTCCAGAAGCATAGGACGTAGGGTTTCCTAAGATTCTGGCCCCCACATCTGCAACCTGAACAGAACCATGATGATTAACAAACAGAAGATAGCATTACTGCTGATCACCACAACTCCATACAGCCAGCTCTCTGTGAAAGGGGTTGCAATGGTGGTTGAAGGATGTTGTTCAGGATTGTTTTAGATAGCACCAAACTTCACAGCAGCTCTAATGAGTTCCTTGCAACTCCCTATTCCAGGTGTAATATTAATGTGTTTTTTAGGAGCTTGGTATCAATGCTTTAACATCTTTTTAGCCCTTTTTGGATGCTTCGCAAATTATTCTTTAGTTGTGGTACCTTCCCACCCCCCAGCACCCCCCCACCTTCCACCCCATAGAAGAGAATGTTTGTGTGCTGAAATGTGAGAGCCGCAGAAGCGATACGAAGGAAAAAGGAAGTGAACTGCTCATTTTTACACAGGTAGTAAGTGGAAGGGCAAGGTTTCAAACCTGTGGCCTCTGACTATAAATCCCATATCGTTTTCTCCCTTCCATACTGTATCCAATTACAAAAGGTTATCTTGAATCAAAAGACCTGAGTTCTAGGGATGGTTGCAATACTTAATAGTTGTATGATACTGGGCAAGTCACTTCCAGGCAGTGTTCTCATCTATAAAATGGGAATAATGATAATAATAATAATACCTTCCCTACTTACTTAACAGGGCTGCTATGTGGATGTCAAATGAGATAATATGTGTGTGTATGCCATAAAATAATGTGCAAATGTAAGCCATTATTATTTTTCTTAATATTATTTTACAGCAGCCTTTTAATTCTTCTGAAATCTAACTCCCTGACGAAATTCTCTGTACTTTTCAGTTTCATAGAGAAATATCATGAGTGATTCTCTTCCCAAGTATTTAAAGTTTCCAGCCAAATTCAGAAAATATAGAGCTCAACACTTGAAAAAAAAGGTTCCATTTTCTGTTTTATCTGAACCAATTTTCCCTTCTCTAAGAACACTGCATCATCAAATCATTAGTAGTACATTTCAATTTTTTCTCCAAGCATGATTGCAGCACATGATTTTTTTTTTTTAGAATGTGTGGCTTAAATCAAGCATAGAATTTCATTTAGTCCAGCAAATGGATAGTGCATTGCTAAGGAATGCTAGTTCGGGGTTCATGAATGGAATATAAAGAGCACATTGTTTTACTTTCTTTAATTTTCGTAACAAATCAAGTGAGAAATTCATAACAAATTGAGTGATTTCTGAATGTTGCTGTTTGTAGAATTTGTGTATGCTTTGTACATATACTCACATATATGTGGCCCCAACGTTCTGAAATGAAGCATTTATCAAGTCACAATCATAACTCTTTCTGCCATGTGGGGAGGAGTGGGATGTTGTGGAGGGAACACTCACCACTGATTTAGGATCCATAGCTTAATGGCCAGTTGTGCATATTTAAAATATGAGAAAGAGGGCAGCAGAGATATGGAAAGTCAAATAGAATCAGGCTCTCTGGTTCCACCATGCTTTTCCCCTTGTTGTTCTGAGAGATGCACAGAGATTTAACTAGCAAATTTTTTTTTTGAAGGGATGATGGGAGGAGGGAAGAGGTACAATATGTGCCAGTTGCTGAGAGGGGTGAAGAGGATCCTAGGACTTGGAGGATCTCACCTAAAGTGTGACCACTGCTGGAGGAAACACTATATAGCTTCTTATCTTAGCCAGTGATTATTATTAACTAGGTGTTAAGTCCAGTTGTTTCTCAGATGCTAAAAAAAAAAACAAAACTGCAGATCACAAGTTTACTACCCTGGGACAGAGCACCCATTTGCCCAACCTTAGTTATGATTCTGGCCATTTATGCCAGAAATTTCTGCCATTTAATTTCTGTGCCTCAGTTTCCATATCTGCAAAATGAAAGGGTTAGATATATTAAGGTGACCTCTATGGTCCCTTTCAGCTTTCCAACTACGATACTTCCCTTTTGTAGAGATATTCTATGCCCTGCACAGTCCTCCTGAGGCATTGTAGCAGAAGTGAGAATTGAGCAAGGGTATTTTTATAAGTATCAAATATTGGATATTGTTTAAGCTGTTAAAATTCCAAAGAAGACTATTAAGGATTAAGAATTACATTTATTATGTACAGTTTGAAAAGGCAGTACTATCAACCTACCATTCATTTCCTGAGGTTATGATCCTCTTGGATGTGATGGTTGCTGTAGAAATTATATCACGTCCAGGGGATTATGTTTTCAAGTGGAAAATGAGCAGTGGGAGAAAATGAACTCTTAAGCATCCTGTTTTCATGCAAATTCACTCAATACTAAAGAACTAGAGCAGAAAACTACTGAAAATAGGATATGTAAAACAGAATGATTTCTGAATAGAGTATATATCAATGTTTTCCCATTACCCATCCTTAGTGACGGTCTTTCAGTTAAAGCAGAATTTACTGAGAAATACTCAATAGCTCTCTCTAATCAAATTTCTCTGTGAGTTAATTAAAAGGAAAAGGAAAATGAGCAAATAATATTTCTCTTCTGGCAGGATGTAGTCAATGGCACTAGTCCTGAGCTCGCAGCTGGGAAGGTTTCTTTACACCCTGTGGGAACAGAGTTAATGAGTGATTTTAAAATACAGTGTGAGGTCTGAGGCTGGAGCAATTTTGCTGGTGAAGTAGAGTGAGTGTATGAAGAGCCATTTCCTCTTACATCACATCCTAATTTGCTGAGGACAACTAAATTTATGTCCACCATTATAGCCATGTCTAACAATACCTGCTCAAGTCACAGGAAAAATATCCCAGCTCATTTCCATTTCATATACCCCTTACATCCTGCTGAGAGTACTTTTATTTTAGCTCCAGCTGTATTTTAATCATTTGGTCATTCATTACTCCCAATCTCCTCCTCTCCTTTTTTTTTTTTTTTTTTATTAAGCCAAGTAAAGAGTTATATGGTTTTCACCGTCAAGATATTGCCTACCAGCCTCAACGCAAAAAGGAAACTTGGCAAATATTCTGGTATTTTTTGTTGTTATTTTAACCAATGACAGTCAATCCTGATAATTCAGCCACCAAAATGGTTCCCCCTCCTCCCTTTAACTTGAATTATCTGAATGGACTTTTGTTTTTAATCAAATTGAGCAATTGTTAGATCTCTTCTCTATATTGGTCTGTTTAGATAGAGACTAACTGTTAGTAATCTATGCTTTTGATGATTACTTTTCTGAATAAAAACTATTACAGGCCAGGCCACATATCTGCCTGTTTGTGACCCCTTAGCTTGCTTAAGCTGTAACTTCATAGCACCAAATAAGTTTATTCACTCTGTTCATACAGGCTAGTCATTTGGGGAGTGTAAGAGGTTTGAATCTGTGATACTAGGTCATGGGATCATAGATTCAGAGGAGGAAGGGACCTTAGAGATAATCTGGCCCCATTTTCCACCCCCTTCCTCATTTTATACATGAGAGAACTGAGTACTAGAGAGGTTAAATGATTTGTCCAAGGTCACTTGGCACCATGTTATCATAGCCACAATTGCTTCTGAAATTAGACCAAATAACCTATGAGGTATCTTCCAACTCTAAGTTTCTGTGATTTAATTTCCTGCATCATAGTTGTTAAGATCCTCAGGTATAGCAGTAATTTTTTCCTTCTTCTGGCATTTATTTAAATTTTTTTAATATTGTGTTTGTATTTACAAGGGGTCTTGACTTCAGGAATATTTCATTAACTGACTAGATACGAGTAAAAGTAAGTCTGAATTTCCCAAATGAATTGCTTAGAAAACTTTTTTTTATCATTTTCCTCCAAATTTACTAACTGGTTATATCATTCTTGTACATATATTTTATTTTAAATTTTATTGCCATTTTATATATTATTTGTGTTTGTATTTCTGGCACATCCCTTGTAAAATTAATTTAAAATAAGAGAGAAAAGAGTCCTTCAGTAAAACCAACCAACAAATCAACCATGTTGGACAGTATTTGTGATATTCACCATTCCTAGTTCTCCATCTCCACAAAGAAGGTAGGGAGGTTGAATACACATTTGCCAACCCTATATTGAAGTGAGCAAAAAGCTAAACACTTAAGAGGTAAATAGCAAATTATTTTTGTGTGTCTATCAATCAGATTCATTTTTCCATCCCTGTTAATAACATAAAATTTGAAATAAAGACCAAAGACCTGATTATGTTTATCTCTTGTGGATAAATACTTCACTAATCATCATTACCCTACTGCATTAGATGTCTAAAAGGTAATTCAGTTTGAATTAAAGATTCTTGATCATAGCATTAATTCCTGCAAAATAAAAATGATAGTTTCCAGGTGATATTTGTAAGTTATGCACAATTTAGCTTGTGATAGTGCAACATGTTTGTTTGTTTTTAATCAGTAAATTTGATAAATTTCAATTAAAAGAAATATGACTTAGATTAGGTGCATATAATAACTGGCCTATGGAGAGTTAATCTCATTTGTTTGCTTTGACAGAATACATACACCCACACATATATATGTATATAAATCTGTGTGTGTGTGTGTATAATGTTTTACATGATTGAACATGTATAACCTATAACAAATTGCTTACTGTCTCAGGGAGGGGGAAGGGAGGGAGATAGAAAATTGGAACTCAAAATTTCTCAAAAATGGATGTTAAAAATTGTCTTTACATGTAACTGAGGAAAAATGAAATATTTTAAAACATATATATACACACATGCATGTCTATATGTCTGTCTGTCTGTTTCTCTCTTGCTGCATGATAGGTTTAGCAATAGTAAACAGTACCTATTATAATGATTACTGAAATGATAGGCTAGGCTGTGCCATGGACCAACTCTGCAGCCCTAAACTTCTGATTGTCCTCCTGGGCTGGAGAGTTTTTCCTCCTTACTTCTGCCTCCCAGAATTCCTAGCTTCCTTCAAGGTTCAGCTCAGGCATCACCTCCATAGGAGACCTTTTCTAATCTTCCCAATGGTTAGTGTCCCTTAATTACTTCTATATGGCTATTAATTTTCATTGCACATGCTGTTTTGTCCAGTAGACTATGAACTCCCTGAAGGCAGGGGTTCTTGTACTTTTATTTTTGTATCCCTATTGTCCAGCATAGTAGCTTGCTTGTGTTGGTCAGTTGTGTCTGACTCTTCTTGACCCCATGGACCGTAGCGCGCCAATACTGTCCAAATGGTTTTCTTGACAAAGATATTGGAATGGTTTGCCATTTCCTTCTCCAGTGGATTAAGGTAAACAGAGGTTAAGTGACTTGCCCAGGATCACATAGCTAGTGAGTGTCTGAGGCTGAACTTGAACCCAGGTCTTCCTGACACCAGGCTCAGTGCTCTATCCATTGAACCATTTATCAGCCTCCTACACATAGTAGGCACTTAATATATGGTTGTTGAACTGCATTGAATTAAATTGTCTTTCTTCTTGGTGCATTCTTTTGTAGGAAGCCTGGTAGATTCATCAGGCCATATTCTGATCCCTGGGATCTATGATAATGTGGCTCCCCTTTCAGAAGAGGAAAAGAAGATGTATGAAACTATTGATTTGAACCTAGAAGAATATCAAAATAATAGCCAAGTGGAAAGATTCCTATTTGACACCAAGGTACAGCCACAACTTGATTGATGATCTGAAAGAGAGTTATGGAAAAGATGAATTCAATTCCCCCTGTACCCAGTTTAGTCTCAGAGTTCCAATCTTTGCACTTTTGAAATTTGAGCAGTTGGTAATGCTTTCATGCCATGAGGGACCATTCTGTAAGTTCCTGTTTCCTGTAATCAGAGCATTGGGTCTTGGGAACCTGGAATAGTTGTAAAGATGCTTAAGCAGGAGTAGTGTCTGCTAGGAAAAGTTAGATTCTTTTTGAAATGTTCATTCACATGCTATGGTGTTTGGAGGTTATGGCTCTTTTCTCTGAGAGTCCAGGCAGATGAGGAGGAGTTTCTAACTGGGAAACAACATGTCTTCCCTTTGATTAGCTTTGGAGGACTCAGGGCAAGAAGACAATTGTTCCAAAATTCAAAAGAATTTTTTGAAGACTTCTCAACAAATTTTGTTCCATTTCAACAAACATCTATTAAATACTTTCTGTACTGTGTGCAGAACCCTCTAAATTTACTACTTTATTTTTATTTTTTAAAGGGGAGGCATCAAGGTGTGGTGGAAAGAGGACTGAATTTGGAGTCACAGGACGTATTGTGCATTTAAATCCTGGCTCTCCCTCTTATTACTTGGGTGATACTGGGCAAGTCATTTAACCTCTCTATGGCTTTCTTCTCATCTGTAAAAGGAGAGGGTTGAACTAGATGAACTCTGAAGTTCTTCCAGTTCTAGAACTATGATCTTATTGGTATTGTGCTATATATCTGGACAAGGATTGAGTCTTATCTAAACTTCATATCTACCCCATTGCTTAAAAGTGGCATTTAGTGTTTGTTGAATGAATTCCCAGTTATTGGTGATGTAGATTTAAATCTGGAACCTCCCCATCTTCAGATAAAAATTCAGAATGGAGCCCTTTACCTGTTAAGGACAGAATACCCAGTTCTTCAACAGAGAAAACAACCTCTATAATGAGGGCCTATTCAGATCCATTTCAGATATTTTCTGCTACATTATGCCTGGTGATGCTACCTACTAAGATTCAGCTTAAGGAGCCTTCAGTCAGTCACTAAATATCCTTGGGTCACTTTGTTTCCATTTAGGAAGAAATCCTCATGCACCTTTGGCGGTACCCATCTCTTTCTATCCATGGGATCGAGGGAGCATTTCATGAACCAGGGGCTAAAACAGTCATACCTGCCCAAGTAATAGGAAAATTTTCAATCCGCTTAGTGCCTTATATGAATATTTCTGTCGTGGAGACACAGGTAACAAAAGATTCTATCAATGGAAGTGTAATTATGAACTATATAATATATATATCATAAATGAACAATTAACTCATTGACATTGACTCACTATAATGTGACCTTGGCAAATCATTTGACCTTTCTGGGCCTCAGTTTCCTCATCTGTAAAATTAGAGATTTAGGCTAAAATGACCTAAGGTCTTTTCTAGCTCAAAATTTGTGTGATCCATATGATGCTGCAAATTCATCACTTTTTATTAAAGGGAAGTACTAGAAATCTTCTGTAATTTGCATCATTACCCCACATCAGACAACAAATTCTTAGGCTTTAGGATTGTATTTCATTTGTGAGATAGTTGTCAAGTGTAAGATCAGTCATTGCTAGAGAACCAGTAAAAACTTTTCATAAATAGTATAGCTAATTAGGCAAAGCTGGCCCAATGCTTAGGTTGCCTAGGTGGTTCTGAAATAGCATCTTACCATCTCACTGGTATGTGAAGTTCCAATATTGAAAGCAGTAGTTAGAAGATGAATATTATCTGGGAGGAGGTGCAGCATTATTTTCTCAATCTGAATAAATATATCTGATTAACTGAGAGAAGGCATGCATCAAGGGAGCAGAATGGTAGAGGGAAGGGTGCAATATTTTGGCTAGTACTTGGGCCTCTGTTTAGGAACATTTTAGACTGCTTCCTGTCACAAAACATGTAGTAGGGTAATGCCTTGTAGGCATCATAGAAAGAAGGCTTTTTTTGCAAATTTAGTATTTTTTATGTTTTATGGGTCAAGGATTTTGAACTCTATAATTAAATGAAGCTCAGTGATTTTGGCCTCAGGGGTCAGGCTACTAATGAACAAGTATGTTTGCTAACAACATATTTGCAAGTTGCTACAATCTTATCCAATATTTAGTATAATGCTAAATTCTCTCAACACTGAAATAAAATCGAAACTTTTTTGAGATGTCACAGAGGAATTTTACCCAGTCATCAGCATCTAAATATTATTATGAATGATTGGCGGGCATATAATAAAAATAATAATGAAGTGGCATTATATCATAGACAATTATATGGCACTATAAATTTTGAAAGGCAAAATTTGACATACACGATTTCATCTGATTCTCACAATAGCACCTGTGATATAGGCACTAGTATTATACCCATTTTACAGATGAGGAAAATGAGAACGAGGGAGGTTAAATAGGGTGAGCAAAATGAGGGAGTAAATAGAAAATGTTTGTATTTCTGATGAGATGTTGTCTTTCAGGTGAAAAAGTACCTTGAGGATATATTCTCTCAGCGCAATAGTTCTAACAAATTGAAAGTCAATATGACACTGGGAGTTCACCCGTGGATTGCTAATATTCATGATATTCAGTACATCGCTGCGAGAAGAGCAATCAAAACAGGTGGGACATTTAGGGAGTTTTGATATCACAACATGGAACACGGCAAAGAACTGTGCTGAGCAGTGAAAGGGACTTTTTTTTGAAAGTTCAGAAAGACATTTAAAACTTATCGTAAGGTGTCAAACAGAATTGTAGGACATAAAATTGCAGGCCACATACTGACTTGGAAAACCACACTCAGGAGTGTTGCCGGGAGTATGTTTGAAGCTTTTGACAAAGGTTGTCTTTTGGGTGCAAGCAAGACAGAATATTGTTGTTTAGAATTAACGATGGTGTTCTCCCAAGTTAAGGGAACTGGTTAGGCTGCTTTCAGTATCAGTGGTTCAGCGATAATTATCCAAAGATAATGGAGAATTGGAATGTTAAAATCAGAGAAGGATAAATCTCCCCGGTTTTCAAAAAAGGAAGAGAATTGCATCCGCAAACTATAGACCAACGCCATTGTCTCCTGTTCCTACCAAAATTATGGAAAGTACTATCAAAGAGATGGTTGGTGAACATCTAGATCGTGAAATGGTGATCACTGACAACTGGGATGGCTTCATCAAAAATAGGTCTTGACAAGCTCGTGTCATTAACTTTTTTTGACAGGTTTATTACATTGGTAGACCCCTGGGGTGCTATAGATAAAGCTTACCTAGTTTTTAACAGAGAATTTTAGTTAAGTCTTTCATGTCAATCTTTCGGACATGAAGGAGATATATGACAACAAAATATTTGGTGGGTTTAGAAGTGGCTTATTGGGGGGGAAAATCCTTAATAGTTCTATGCCTGAAGGTAGAATGGACTGTCCTGGGATGCAAGAGAAGCTGGAGGATCATTAGAGTGCTAGTGAATAGTACCCTACCCAAAAATCATCCATTGCTGAGGGAGCCATTCAGGGGCTGGTTTTCAGCATCGTGTGCTCAGAAAATAGAAGGTAAACACTTTAGATGGACTGAATGGAGGAATGGAGACAGACCCTTGACTTCTGCTAGAGGGCTGAGCCTTTCTGGGGACACCTCTGTCTCCTCTATCCCACTCCTTTCCTTGATGTTTTACCCTTTTTGGCTTCTCAACCTTTCCTTCAGAGGGAATCCTAGGGAGTGGAGGTAGGAAGGAGGACCCTTTGAATACAGTAGGGGTACTTCAGAGGATACGCTTCAAGAGTAAAGGAGAAATGCCACCCAAAGTTCTTGAAGGGAAAAGCCTTTTCAGGGGTTTTGTATGATATACCCAATGAGGGATGGAGGTGGGGCCACTTTAGGGAGGGCAAGGCAGGGGAAGGATGCTGTCCTAAAAGTCCTCCTGGAGAGCCATGCCTATCTGTAGACACCACTGCCTTCCAAACTCCAGGGACCTTATCCTTCCCTTTAAGATCTGCTTTCCCTCCTCTCCCAGGTCTCCAAATTCTGTCTCTCTCTCTGAGAGTGTTGGAGGTAGGTGACCTTGGAATCAGAGTACACATAGAAGGACTAAGGATCCTCCCTTCATACTCAGCTGCTTATGTTGAGTCTTGAGGCCGAATGGACTGGTCTAGAAGGCCCTCAAGGGCCTAAATTTCAGCAACATGACTGAAAGGGCACTAGACTAGGAGTTAGAAGATCTAGCACTGACTCTGGATCTCTGTTGCCACCTCCGCAAAATAAGCAGGTCAGACAAAATGATCTCTAAGGGCTCCTCCGGCTTTAACCATCATGCCAGCTCTAATTAGGCTCTTTGGATGCCAAATAAGAAGAAACAACCGATCTTAGCACATAATTAGCAAAAATGAGAAGATCTTTATTTCTTCAGCTGGTAAGACTCTTTGTCCATTTTACGGGGCAGAACAGCAATTGGTGCAGACCATTTTTTACTTGCAAGTCCTAGTGAGTCACTAGTGGTACAGAGAGGCTAAGTTATTACCAGCGTCATATACGCAGCTAGTTGTGTCAGAGCAAGACTTGAATTTTGGACTTCTTTATTCCAAACGTCCAGCACTACGCCAGTAATCAAGAGTAATTAAAATGAGAAGCTACCAGGTGCCCTGCTGCCCCTTGCAGGCTCCCTATCATTGCTGTTGTGGTGCCCCTAAACCCCTGTCTCCTCCCATGGGGTGATGGCTATCCACCCCTGGGGTTTCTCTCCACTTGCCCTAGGGTACACAGCTTGAGGTACTTGCCTTAGATGCCAATTCTCATTTAAAGCTTGGTCTTGGGGCAGCTAGGTGGTGCAGTGGATAGAGCTCCAGCCTTGGAGTCAGGAGGATCTGAGTTCAAATCCAGCCTCAGACACTTGATACTTACCAGCTATGTGACCATGGGCAAGTCAGTTAACCGCGATTGTCTCACAAAAAAAAAAAAAAAAAGCTTGGTCGCTAGAGCAGTTGTTACTCAGTTCTATGCAGAAAGCAGGTTATCAAATCCTTTCTCTTTTGATCATTGGACATGTTATCTGCAGCTAGCTCCTTGCTTTAAACAATGTTAACTTAATGTATGCCATTTATGAGAAAAAATACTTCTCTCTCTCGTTTAATTCAAGAAGCAGTAATGTAATTTAGGTAAATATGTGTGGGTTGATTACTGAAGGGTTTCCCTATCTCTGAAATGTCAAACCATTAAAAGAAATGTTAATGCAAACTGTCTTAGAAGACTATTGATATAGATGGATAGATAGATATATAGTCTGTATGTATAGGTATGTATGTAAAGACATAGAAAGACACAGAGAGAGAGAAAGAGAGAGGAGTCTAGAATGCAGGGAAAACTCTTGTCTGTGTATCCTTATTACCCTTATTTCTAGCACATAAGTGAGGCCTAGTTGATTGTGAAACTGAATGTACTCAGGTGGTTATTTTATTTGCAGCACTGTCTCTTTTTCTGTGTTTCAGTGTTTGGAGTAGATCCTGATATGATACGAGATGGATCAACTATTCCAATTGCTAAAACATTCCAGGATATTATCCAAAAGAGTGTGATGATGCTACCACTAGGAGCTGTTGATGATGGAGAACACTCTCAGAATGAGAAAATAAACAGGTTAATGGGAATACTTGGTGGGGTAAAACTCTTCACTGCCTGATCATTTGGGTGTCTTCTCAGAGATGATCCCTATTCAGTTCACTAATTAAGAACAACCAAACATTTAAAATTTTTAAGAATTTTTTATTGATATCTTATTTTCATGTCATCTTCATTTTTTTCTTTAATATATCCCCTTCTGTTCTCCTACCCAATGAGCCATCACTTCTAACAAATATTAAAAAAGAAAAAAGGCATTTCAGCAAAACTAATCAACACACAAGCCATGTGTGGTAGTGTATACAGTCTTCTACGCTCAGTCAAAGAAGGAAAGGAGGTACATTTTTTCACCTCTTCTCCATTGCCAAGCTTGGTCACTATAATTAGTGTTCAGTTTCATTTGTTGTTGTTGTTATTCAAATTGTTAGTAGTTATATAGCATTATTTTCCTGGCTCTGCTTACTTCATTCTGCTTCAGTTCTTATGTCTTTCCAGGTTTTCTGAATCTTTCATATTTATTGTTTCTTATGGTACAGTAATATTCCATCACATTCATATTCCACAATTTGTTCAGCCCTCTGTTTTCAGTTCTTTGCTACCATAAAAGAGATGCTGTAATGAATATTTTGACATATATGCAACCTTTTTTTCTGTCCTTAACCTTGAAGTATCTGCCCAGCAGTGGGATCTCTGAGGCAAAGTATGGACATTGTAATCATTTTTTAAAAATCTTAATTCCAAGTTGTTTTCTAATTCATAGTCCCACCAACAGTTGGTTGTTTTTTTCATTGTGGTTAGAGTGGCAGGCCTGGAGTAAGGAAGACCTAAGTTTAAAGTTGACCTCAGATACTTACTAGCTGTGTGACCCTCACTAAACTCTATTTGCCTCAGTTTCCTCATCTGTAGGAACTGGAGAAGGAAATGGCAAACCCACTACATATTAGTGTGCTTATCTTCCAGAAATTCCTCCAAAATTGGTGATTTTCATCTTTTGTCATCTGCCCATTAGAATGGGAGTTTCTTGAGGTCAGGGATTAAGTTGTTGGCTTTCTTTTTACCCCACTGCTTGGCATAGTGTTGGGTGCACAGTAGGGGCTTAATAAATTCTTGTTGACAGTGGTGAAACTTTAAGAGTTGTTTTAATCTGCATTTCTTGGCACTAGTGATTTGGAACAATCTCGTATATGTTTATTAATAGTCTACAATTCTTCTTTTGAGAAATGTTTCTTTAAATCCTTTGGCCACTTAACCATTGTGAAATGGCTCTTGCCATTGAATATAGGTCAATAACACTTTTAAAAGGACTCTTCATTCTGCATGGCTTGTTGCCAGATTGTATAACTCTCCTAACTTAACATGTTGGGGTAGACAAAAGAAATGTTAAAATTTAAAAGCCTTGTCATGTCAGGGGTTAGAAACTAAAATAGGTCATTTCTTTCAGCAAGACCCATAACCTCCTTGGTCATGTGACAGGGGAGGGCACATAACTACTAATTCGTTGACTCTGTTCTCTTCATAATTATAATATTACCACCTTGAATACACAAAATGACTTTACTCTTGTGATCTCCAAAAACTAAGTTGCAGGCATCAGCTTGGTTTTAAAACTGTAATTTTCCTATACAAATTATGAACATTTTCATTTTAATATAAACTGAAAAGATTTTTTCTTCTTTTTTTTTTTTCTTGTATTAGGTACAATTATATAGAGGGATCCAAATTGTTTGCAGCCTTTTTCCTGGAGGTGGCTAAGATGCATTCATAACTTCCTCAAGCTTCCAACCCCAAGATTACTAAACTGTCAGACCCTACTGGACAAGGATGTCATCCAAATACAGGAAAACTTTCCTCTCCGGCCAAGAGCTTGTTTAAATTGCTTCATTTAAATATGGACAAATAATAAAACATTCTGAAAGCAAGATGTTGAGAATGTTTAATGATACTTGTCTTGTGGTCCTAAAGTCAAAACCACCTTCAGCAATCTAATTCTTACCTCTATCTTGCTGCTACAAAAACAATTCCAGTTAAGTCCATTTTAACCTTTTGAATAGGTTGAGAACAGGGTAATTACTTTAATTGGTTTCTCAGCTTGCAATCTGATCACTACAGAATTAGTCTGGCCTTCTTAGCCCTGAACCACTTATGATGCCTAACAATTCTGCCTTACAATTCTATTCCTCTGCAGTCAGTCCTTACAAAGCACTTACAATCACCCAAGATTTCTTTCTATATTATTAATAAAAATGCTGGTCTCCACCACTGACTACACTGATTTCCCTATGGATTCATTTTCAGAAAAGTTACTATAGCATGGCAGAGTATTAACCTCTTACCTCCATTTCATTTATTTCTGCTACATGAAAAGTTGTGAATGTGAAATGATCAATATTAATACCCCAACCACTTGAGAATTCCTATTGCAGTCTGAGTTTCTAGTTCAATGCCTTCCTTCACCACCACCCCTCCATACTGTTATATTAACTTCAAGCTTCAGTCTCTTCCATTGAGTCCATCTAGAAGGCAGACTCATACTGAGCATTTGTAAAAAGTTGTATTCCCAATGTTATGTCTAAGCTATAGGTAAGTTTACTGGGAAGCGGCAGAATCCCCATAGAAACCTTCTCGCCCCATGGTAAATTTTGCTTCTTTACTATCCACATCTAAATTGCTAAAGGCTTTCAACAGCATCAGTTTTAGATTGAGAACTAATCAACCCTGACAATAGTAACACATTTTGAAATTAGAGCTTTCAGCTAGTGCTGCATTCATTAATCATTCTGGCTAACCATCTAGTTTGGCTTGATTGGATTTGATGGTATAAACAGAAAGAATGCAATTATTTTCACAGTTGAGTCTATGTAAACAGAAATCAATTCAACCTTTAAAGTTAAGTTATTGAAATCATGCTAATGGAAAGGAATTTAGATTTGTCCCCCCAAAATGCCTTCCTCATGATTTTGTTTCTGTAATGGTGACTTGCATGTAATTATTATTTTTTTCTCGCCTACGCTAGAGGTTCACCCAAATATTCCAAAGGATTTATGATCTCACTGATGTTGGAATTTTCTCCCAAAATCCATATTGCAATCCATCTATCCCTGCCTGTCTATCATATGCAGAGTTCATGTCCTCCCATTAGCAATAGAAGTCCACCTAACACGTTCAGTGCTTTTTCAAGTACTCCTGATCTTGAGGATATCTTGTTGATATCTTGCATGTGCTCATCCTCCACAAAAATGTGAGCTCTTTGGTGGCAGGGACTATTTTGACTTTCTTTAATCCCCAGTGCTTAATACAGTGCCTGGCACATAGTAAACACTTAGCAAATACTGTTGACTTGACTCAATGGAGCATATAGGCTTTATAAGTTATCCCTTCAGAAAGAGGATTTCATTCTTGAGCCTCATTTTCCACAGACCTCCCTACAAGTTTCTTTCCTCATTGGGCAGACTCACTTTTAGACTGCTCTGATTAAGAATATGTTTCTTGACATTAGAATCTAAATCTGCTCCACTGTTACTTCCATCCATTGCTTCTTGCTCTGCCCTCCAAAACCAAGAAGAGTAGTCTAATTTCTCTTCCTCATGCCAGTCTTTCAAATACTTAGGAAATTATGTTTTCTTAAGTCTATTCTTCTCCAAGCTAAACATCCTTGGTTCCTTCAACTGCTTTTCTCTTGGCTTGATCTTAAAACTTCTCAAAAGGCAAACTAAAACTGGTTCCATCCAATGCAAAGGGAATGAGGAGATAAGGACTGACCTTAATATTGCTTAATATAGCCTACTAATGTAGGCTAATTCTGTCCCTGATTAACCCCTGCTTAGCATGAAAGAGAGGTCAGAAGACTACATTTTTCTCAACACCATACACATAATGGCCATACTACCAAACCAAAAATTCGGGCATGTGGTCATATAATGGACAGTTCTAGTTCAAGTTGAGACTGTCCCAGAATATCTATGACATGGCTACAGACCAATGATCATTTAAAATATATTCACGTATTCATGGTGTTCTGTGCTATAGGGGGAATGGTATCTTCTCTCTGTATATATACATATATATATATAAATAAACTTGTGGCATTTGAGGACCTTCTTTGTGTAACTGATTGGCCTTTAGGGTTCCCAAAGACTGAAAAATGTGCTTGCCACAAAAAACATGATGGAAAATATACATGCTAAAAACATGACTGTTTACAAGTTAGCAAAAGTTATATTTATAAGCGATGTTCTTTAAGGAGCAGAATGATTTTTACCTAGTTGGCACTTAATAAATGCCTATTAAGTTGAAATATAGTTTAAAAAACAAAACAAAACACCTCAGCTATTTAATAAAGTGTGTCACTCAAGACCTTTGACTTTTTCTCTGACTTTCTTTGTCTTGACCAGTTATTTACAAAAGGTAATAGCAGCTTGAAGGTTGAAGATTGTAAGTCTCCAAGTATCAAGCTCACCTCAAGATTTAATCTCAGACTGGAGGGGAGCTAGATGGATTTGAATTTGTTTTCTTGACACAGTAACCAGAAAGCAATTGGAGGAACATACGGTTACATCTACGATCCTAACTAGCCCTTTTAGAGGAAAAAGGAGGGAATCACGAAGGAGGAGAGGTGTTACCTTTGCTTTTCATTATATTCTTGCTTGGCTCAGCTTCCTAGTTCTTCAGAGATCAAGATTCAGTTCAGATGCTATCTCCTACAAGAACCTTTTTCTGATCCTCTAATTCTCTAACATGTTAGGGTCTTCCTCCCCCAAATCACTTAATTTTGTATGTAATCTAAATTTACCTATCTGTGTACACCAGAAATGTTGAATTTATGCCAGGATCTCCACTGTCGCTAAACCAGATTAAAATGTAATTAGGAAATACTTAACAAAATAAATAAAAAATACAATAAAACAGAGATAGTATTACATTTTAAAACTAAATCCATGTGTGGCCTGCAGGGATCCTTGTATGGATTAGTGTCTCTGTTTCTGATTTCAGTTTCACACTATAGTGTGCTCAATATGTTGCCTCAACCTTTCTCTCCTTTACCCATGAAAAGTAAACTCCTAGAGGGTCTCTTTGCTTGCTGAAAAGCTCATGACCCCCAAACTCTGACACCGGGGATACAGGGCCAAAAATGGAAGAGTTCCTGCCCTCGAGGAGCTTAAAACTTATCGAGGGAAAACAATATGTACATATCCAAATATATATAGGTTAAATACATGATAGTTTTGGAAGCCAGGGCACTAGCAATTGGAAGTTGGTAGGATCAAGGAAGGTGAGTCACAAGTTGAGTCTCTAAGGAAGTAAGAAAGAAGTTCATTCCTAGGCCTCTACGAGGAATTATCTCATACTGCCTTGTCTTCTAATTTTTTGATGTGTTTATCTTTTTCTCTCTTATGGTATAAGCTTCTTCAGGTGAACAAATGAATGAATGACAGTATTTATTAAGTGCTTACTCTGTCCAAAACACAGGTGATACAAATAGGAAAATATGACTGTCCTTGCACTTATAGGACTCATTCTCTCTCTCTCTCTTTTTTTTTTTGGCTAGGCAATGGGGTTAAGTGACTTGCCCAGGGTCACACAGATAGTAAGTGTTATGTGTCTGAGGCTGGATTTGAACTCAGGTCCTCCTGAATCCAGGGCCAGTGCTTAGGGACTCATTCTCTAATAGGGAAGATAATACATTTGAAAGGTTTCAGTTGTAAATTAGAAAGAAAGGTCCCATGTTCCTGAGGCTGAAGATACAAAACAGATGGCAATGCCTCTTCTTTAATAACATCTACAATGAAAAAATCATATCAGTTTTGATGGAGAACCACTTGACCGTACTGAGAACTTTGGTGGCAAGAACTTTTTTTTGCCTAGTCTTCAAGTAGTTATGTTCATAGCAGCAGTGGCCAGGAGGTACTCCACAGTAGTTGCTTCCCAGGGAAGACTGTCTAATCAGTCTCTTTATTTCCAAAGCACCTAGCATAGTATTATTATTTAAGTATATATATATGCTTTATTATGATACTCATTTTTTAAAAATTTGAGTTCCAAATTCTCTCTCTTTTCTCCCTCACCCATTGAGAAGGCAAACAATAAATCAATTATAATGTAAAGTCATGAAAAACATTTCCATATTAGCCATGTTGCCAAACAAAAAAAAAGGCAAGTAAAATGAAGAAAGTGAAAAAAGTATGCTTCAATATGCATTCAGAATTCATTAGTTGTGAATAGTATTTTTCATCATGAGTTCTTTGGCATTGTCATGGATCATTGTCTTGATCAGAGTAGCTAAGACTTTCACAGTTGATCATCATCACAATATTGCTATTATTGTGCACACTGTTCTGGTTCTACTCATTCCACTTTCTATCAGTTTATATGTCTTCCCATGTTTTTCTGAAACCATCCCCCTCATCATTACTTAGAGCATAAGAGTATTCCATCACAATCATGTGTTACAACTTGTTTAGTCATTCCCCAATTGATGGGCATCCCCTCAATTTCCAATTCTTTGCCACCACAAAAAAAGCTGTTATAAACATTTTTGTACAGATAGGTCCTTTCCTTTTTTCTTTGATCTTTTTGGGATACAAACCTAGCAGTGTTATTTAAACAATATTTTTTTTTGAAAGTGACATGTTGAATTTCTCAAAAAAACAAACTGTGCATAATACATTTGTGGTTTCATATGCAATCTTCTTTTTTCTATTCTACTTTGTAGGTGAAAATTATCATTTAATTTGGTGTTTAAGTTTAGAATTAAAAAACTAAAGAAAAATGATGGGCCTGTCA